TCACATCCTCCCTTATTGATTTCTAACATACCAGCTATCCAGTTAGCCCCCGCTGCCTCCATTACATCCCTATAACAGCTATTGTTGGACAAGTGGGGGGTGGTAAGGGACGTGTGGTTTGTAGACCAGAAAGGTTAGTATGGGTGTTGAGCTGTATCCCAGTGGGACGGCTGCACCCCAACTATGCAGAGTGAAGATACAGAGAGCATAATGCAACTCTAGAGGCTCAGCTGGCTGCACTGGTCATTTACGGTGTCAGGAGGATTGCCCTGTGTGAGTGCACGGTGTTGTGTTAAAGTCATGTGGGTGTTTATAGTAAGAGGAGGGTGGGTTGCATGTCAGGGGACATATATGTGAATGTGCGTGTGTGTGGGGCTGGGATATACTGTATGGTAAATAGTCTGTGTCTGGGCAGATGGTGTAGGGAGCTTTTTACAGATGTGAGGAGACATAATCTGCTTTATTTGCATGTCAAACCTAAACATGACATTAGCAAGCCTGTTAGAAATCACAGGCCACCAGATGAGGTTAAATTTCTACAACAAATCCCCTGTAACCTGATAACTATGGGAGCGTATAAGTAACATAAACAAATACAACAGCCCTGCTGGAAAAAATGTTTTAGCTCAACATTGTGTGAATTATGCTCATTTATTTTTTTGCTGAGAGTTAGATTAGGGAAAAGATTGTTACCACACTCATGTGACTGTAGATAGGAAGCTACAGCCAGGAGATAGTTCGTTTAACACCAATCTCAGAGCCCATCGGCTATCGTCTGATGACGGATTAGCCTCTGGGGGCAACTGCCAATATTTTGGGGCTTCCAGTGTAGACAGTGTCTGGGCCAAGTCTCTGTTAGCCATATACCTTTTACAGCTATCTGCTTACGATTGCAGATAGATTAAAAAGGTGATAGTAAATAAGTTTCGGTCAATGTTGCTTTCTACGCTGTTTACCTGTGGGCAAACAGGTTTGGGTGACATGTTCTTATTTCCAAACAGTTTTACTGTTCAGTTTTTGTCAGAATGAAGCTTCTGTTTAATGAGCTTTAGATGTGCTGGTAAGTGCATTTTATTTATTTTGGACAGAGCCACACTCTGGCTGTTTCCATTCCTGCTAAGTTAAGATAACCGGCGGCTGGCTGTCGCTTAATAGTTATCATGCAGACATGAGAGTGACATCCATTTTCTCATTTAGCTCTTGGCAAGAAATCCAAAAAGCATAATTCTGCAGACTATTTCTTTCATTTCGATTTTGCAAACTTAATCATCTCAAGCAGGAGTTTAAAAGTCAAGCAGAACAAACGATACAAAGCTGGGACCGTGTTATTTACACCCCTCCCTGCCAAACAGGCATGCAGCTAAACAACAAATCACTGCAAACACTGCAACGTATATTAGGAGCCGCTCTGGAATACGAGTTCATCTCCAGCCCCCTGGGCCTCTTCCCTGACCTGATTCATTCCTGCTGTGATACAAAGAAGAGCTTAGGCCCACAAAGTCAAAATCTGGCTTGCTGGAATGTTTTTCATAGCTAGACTTGATTTGCAGCAGCAGCAGCAGCAAAACGTATTAATTATTTGGAGGATATCCTCAAGAGAATCAAACGTTAGATCTACTGTTGAGCCCCTCTAGGCATAAGGTGTTTTCAGCCTCACCCGCTTTGCTCACCAACACAATCTGCCGCCACGCCCTTGTTGAGAGCATGTCACTGCTGGGGAGACACTCCCTGTCTGACATGCCAGTGGGGGGGGCAGGATAGTCAAAATGTTCTCATGACTGACAACTCATCCATTGTCACAGTAGCCATTGACTACTGGTATCTGTTGGTTTTATTAAATTATGAATCAGTCAGTGAGTTACTTTTAGTTAAGCGTTGAAAGGGTAAAATACTACACCCTCTTTTTTTTCAGCCAACGATTTACGGTCAAACACAGGACACATTGAATACACTATGTTAGTGTGGAATGTCACACTGGTGTTTCAGCATCAGGCGCTGAACAGTATCCATCTCTGCTTTTCTGTTTCAACCCGCTAACTGGCTGCTTTCGCTGATACGCATTCCTGGTTTTACTGAGCAGGGTTTTTATTTTCTTTTTTTGGAAGAAGCCCACTAAAGTCATCCGCAGAGACCGTTGCTTAACAAGATAGTGGGAGCTGGCGGGTGTGAGGCGTGTGTTTTTCCTCAAGAAAAAGGGGTGGCTTCTATGTAACTGCTGCAAATGTATGTGGGTGGATGGAGGAGGGTGGTGGTAATGACAGTGATGGAGCAAAGTCCAGTGGGAGTGAAAGGAGGCATCACTCATTAACTGTAAGGGAGCAAAGTCCAGTGAGTGAATACAAACAGCAGTGCTGAGGAGGGATCAACAGACTGGGGCATTAACTTCAACACTGAGTTTTACTTTCACCATAATTCACAAAAACAGATGATTTCTATGCTGTTTGTGGTTTTTTTACTTTTCTGTTTATTATTTTAAGCCAAAACATTTAATATTTTTTTCTTTGCTTGGACCACGATCACAAGCGCTTTGGGTGAGGGGGGAAATTGGACATTATGGGAGAACCCAAGAGGGAAGGACATTTAGCAGTAAACAAGTGAGCATGGCTTCAGACATCAGATGGGTCAGCAGATAAAAACCCCCACAGTACAGTGCCTTAGTGGAGTTTCGGTTACCTAGGCGATATGCGGGGCGTGTCGCAGGATTGCAACAGTTGGCTGAACCCGTTGCCTCGCCCAGGAAAACAAAGACTACCCAAACAGTGTCCCTGATTTACAGAGAGCAGGAAGGTTCTGTGTAGACCCTGTTTATACCGTCGTTCTGTTGAAACAAAACGTTCATTCTCTGCACCCACTGGATCCAAAATTATTTTACAGTCCCGTTTGAAAACACTGAAGTTAAGCTGTGGTGAGTCTGATGCTTGATTTCCCATTGCTCTCTGTGTGCCAGGCACTCACCTTGGTGGACAAACCTTACTGCTTGTGTTCAAAACAGAGGCCACACCTTTTAGTTTTGAAAGGAGGGGATACGCATTGTTTTAGTGCGTGCTTGCTTGCAAGCATAGTTTCTGTCTGTGGCCTGATGAGTCAGTGTATTATCTGTAAGGTAACATGTAGCTGCAAGCACAGACAGTCCTCTGTGGCCTGGTCCTGCAGGATCTCATGCCAGACTGACTACAGCTGAAACTCAACTGCACTGCCGCTGCTCCGTGTGATAGTATGAGAAAGATGAAGATAAAAGACATGTTGGGACTTCACAGGAACATCAGGTTCAGGTGAACATATAATTTGTACATGTGCGTATAAGAAGTAAATGGCACTTAGAAGACCAGAGAAAACGTGGCGATAGAGCTGATGATAGACTAATGAGGAACATGTGGTGCACACACTCACACTCACTATCCTCAGTTTCTTCTTCATACAAATTATATGAAAATCAAAGCCCCCCTACGTGATGTGTGCGCACACACGCATTATGGTGCCTGGGGGAGAAAAAGTGGGCTGGGCCCACTCAGGGACTGAAACACTGCACGACACATCCTTATGCAAAGCCAGAGGGCAAATAGATGAGGGAGGGGTGATTTTACTGTTGCATCACGAACAGCCCTAGTGTAAGGCAGAGAGACAAAGCAGTTCATTTTTTTTTTTTTTTTACACAGATTCCTTGTCCTTGCCTCCAAACAAATTGTTCAACTCCAATGACAGTACTATACTCATATTGTTAGGCCGTGCCTGTATGAATTGATTCTGAGTGGTTTAATGTGGGTAAAGGTGGTAATTTACGTTTGTACAGCTCATTTTGTGCCTGTATTTGAGCCTCAACTCGTTTTAGAGAAGATGAGCATAGCTTATTCTGTCACACAACAGAGCTTCAAGGATTTAACTATTTTTCCTTTCTTTGTCAGTTGAACTGTTGACTTTGCTGTGTGTGGAGTGTCGTGGTTCTTCCAGTGCATCTGCAGAGAACAGAAAACGCCCTCTTACGTGTGCACACAAAAGCACAACGCACCCCAGCAATGTGCTCGGCGAAAACTCCTGTCAAACATCTGAAAACACTTGTAGCACAGTGAATGCGTTGTACCATCAGTCACATGTCATATACAGCAGCAGGCAGCTATTAAAAATGCAGATATTTTTTTGTGATGAAGAGGATTTCTGTGGTTGATGATGTGGAAGATAGAAAGTGATTTAATGTGGAGATGGAAAACATCCATGAAATTTATGACAGTTATTAGGTTGTGTGGAGCTGCAGCTAAGGATCATCTGGTTTTCATGTCTGGTCTCTATTTTAACACAAATATGTGCACAGAGGATACAACGTAGTTTGTTTCATAATTATCATACTTAATATGTCACGTGTTATCCCACATTGTCCTTACAGGAAGTAACAGGCTTTTTTTAAAATCTTATGCACAGCCAGTGCTTGTACAGTCAGTGTCTGGGATTCACATGTTCAAACCAGATTTGTAAAAAAATCATTTGACTTGATTATTCTACAGTTATCACTTTGTAAGGATCATATACCTAATTAAATGGGGATTTTGGGATTTGAAATTACATATACTAAAGTTATGTTTCAGGCATTTCACCTATGCACACGCACTCAGTAGCTTCCTCACTGGGGTCAAAAACCTGACGAGCAAGTTCCTCATTGCCATGCGTCAGCAGCAGGCTGCTCCCACGGCTGTATGGGCGGAGGCCTGGGGTGAAAGGTCACCTGGGCTGACTAGCATTCCTGTCTTACAGCTGTCTCTCCGCTCACTTTGCCTCCTCTCTCCTGTGAGCCGCCGCTGCCGCTCTGTGTTGTCATTTTAAGGTCAGGGTGCGCAAGGTTTGGGGGTTGGAGGGGGTGTAAGTCTGAGCTGAGGAGCTGTCATATTACGTTAAAGAGAGTGGAGACCTCACTGGAGCACAGTATTCATTAATAATATAAACAGATTTAGATATGTATTGAAGCCAATCATTGTCCAATTCTGACTGAAGCTTTTTCTTTTGTTTTTTAGGTTTTGTTGTTTGTGGTGAGAACGGGAGGCAAGGATAACCATGCAGAGTAAGTATATCACTCATGTCGTATATAATGATGCTCCCTTTTCCGCTTCCTCCTTTTGTTGCTAATTTAATATTGTAACAACATATGCATTTTATTTTTATTATTTCTTGGTTCATTTTTGTCAGGATCCCCTTCTTCTGCAGCACTTTTATAGTAGAGCATGTTAAATATTTTCATCATGACCTTTCCGACTTCCAGCTATTGTATTGATGTGTTTATACTGAGGTCACTTCCTTGTCCTCCTTTATTTGGCATTGAAGAAAAACAGTCGTCCTTCGGTAGAAAATGGGATATTAAATTGGAGAAAGGAATTATAATGTGGTATAATCCCTAAATATATTCAAAGCCGCCACTGTATCTGTATCACACCTGTTAAATAATGATTTGGTACAACACTTCTGACGTTCCACAATTCCTGTCTGTGTCCTTGGTAGTGGGTGAGCTTGATAGTGGCGTGACGAAGGTGTCAAAGTGGCAGGAGACAATGTATGGCTTAGACTCGGGCATCCAGTCCGGAGCCAACACAGTCAGAGACGACGACTACACCACCACCAAGCAATACACCATGACCACCACTGTGTCCAGTGATCAGCCTGGTAAGACTTAAAACAAGGGTCAATATGCAGACATATATATGAATGTATATTACACTTTTTGTCAAAATCACACGTGGTCTGTTTAATAACAGCTGTCTCTCTTCTCCTTAGCTTTGGATATGCAGTCATCTCTAACTAGAGCCCAGCGGGTGCGCGCTGCAATGTTCCCAGAAACTTTGGATGAGAGCATAACCATCTTGTCGACTCAGACAGACGCGTCCCAGATGACAAATGTCCAGCGGCTGGCAGAGCCCTCCCAGATGCTCAAGACCGCCATCATCCATCTGATCAACTACCAAGATGATGCCGAGCTGGCCACACGCGCTGTGCCCGAGCTCACCAAACTGCTCAATGATGAGGACCAGGTGATGAAGGAAGAATGTCTGAACTCATGCTCCTGCAGAGGTTTTTCGGCAGGACTATTTCTTGAACTTGCAGAGTTTATACTAAACTAAGCTAACAGACTGTTGGCTGTAGCTTTATGTTCACCATACAGACATGAATCAACCCTCTCTTCTTACTCTGCAAGAAAGCTAATGAAATTAAATGATCAATTGTTTATTTCTTCAATCAACAGATGATAAGTGAATTAATTGTTTACTTGTTGAATTGAATATTTTTAAAATAATTTAGACTGAATATGTTTATCACTCTCTTATCATTTCCACCAGTAAAAAATAACTTCTCTTTTCCCCCGTCTTTCACCAGGTGGTGGTCAGCAAGGCAGCACAGATTGTCAACCAGCTTACACGCAAAGAAGCATCGCGGCGTGCCCTGATGCAGTCCCCTCAGATGGTGGCGGCAGTGGTGCGGGCCATGCAAAACACCAGTGACATGGAGACCGCCCGGGCCACCGCCAGCATCCTCCACAACCTGTCCCACCAGAGAGAGGGCCTGCTCTCCATCTTCAAGTCTGGAGGCATCCCTGCTCTTGTTCGTATGCTCAGGTAAACAAATTATGTTCTAGATTTCACCTAACCACATTCTGACATTATAGTCATAGTTGTTAATATAAATGTTGAATAATGTACTCTTTATTATAGTTAGGGTATGAAAGGGAATATTCATCCTAAAACACAGAAGTAGTTGTAAAAAAGATATTTTGCCAATGGCAGTTCCATTTATTTAGGCCAATTTTGCTGAAACTAATCCTTGTTTAAACATGTCACACACAGACCCTGAAGTCATGTTGAATTATTTTCCAGCGCGGCTTCAGTGCTGTTCAGTTGAGAAAGAAAACAAGCACTTCTCACTCACCAGTTTGTACTGACTATCTAGTTGACGAGCGGAAAGTGTAAATTAAGTCAAGGCACATTCTTTGGATACATCCATACCACTACATTGTCGTTTGAAAACACATCAACGCTGCTCCGGATACGCCTGCTGTCCACAGTACTCTGGTGTTTTGATATCTGCTAAAACTGAGAAGTTTGAAAACGCTCCTGACCCCATAAAACTGCAAGGCTGCATTAATGGTCTGGACGGGTAGAAACGGAAACGTTTGGAAACAATTACGTCGACTCTCACATGACACTGATTGAGTCTTTTCAGTCACGCCGTAGCTTTCTCTGATTTGTCAGGCTCCTATCACATGACCGCCTTCCTGAAGAAAACAAGCAGCAGGAGCCTCGGCTAGCAGTGTAAACGCAGCGTGGATAGTCGATTACAAGCCCTTCTGACCTATTATTTAAGCAATCACATTTTTAGCTTAGCACTATATGCAACTAACAACGAAATACTTCCTGTTTACACTGGCCACATGTTAGTGGCATGTTGTGGCCAGGGATTAAAACTGATACAAAGCTAAAAGAAATCAAACATGGCAGCCATTGTTAAGGGCTTTCTGGGAAAAGTAGGAGTTGACATACTCATGCTTAATCTAGTTGATAGTATCCAACAGTGAGCATATCCAAAGGGGAGAGTGTTCTTAGGTATGTGACAACATGATGCGCTATTGGTTTTGTGATACACTCTCATCCCACCTGCTTCTCTCCCCCAGTTCTCCCATGGAGTCTGTGCTCTTCTATGCCATCACCACGCTCCACAACCTGCTGCTGCACCAGGAGGGAGCTAAGATGGCCGTGCGTCTGGCTGATGGCCTGCAGAGGATGGTCCCCCTGCTGAAGAAGAGCAACCCTAAGTTCCTGGCCATCACCACCGACTGTCTGCAGCTGCTGTCCTACGGCAACCAGGAGAGCAAGGTGTGTTTAGAGATTGTGAATGTGAACAGTTGCTGGTACAACGTTTCTAATGTGAGACTGTTGAAGTTGTTCTGCTTGTGTGTACTCGTTTTGTTGTGGGCACGGCATGTGAACAGCACCTGATGGAACGGAGAGGGTGTGGCTCTAGTTATTTGTTTAGAGTAGTAAAATGAGAGACGATTAAGTACCTGTAGTGATAACCTGTCTGGACAAGTCACAGCTTTGTTGAAAGTGGTGCGTTGTGAAACCTAAGGGGTTATATCCCAAAGTGTACCTGGAGATTAAAAAGTAAAAGTTGTTCTCCCATAATCTGCTCTTTGCATACTCACACAGTTCCTGTGTTTCACAGCTGATCATCCTTGCCAACGGGGGTCCTGAGGGTCTGGTTCACATCATGAGAAACTACAGCTATGAGAAGCTGCTGTGGACCACAAGCCGTGTGCTCAAAGTGCTTTCTGTGTGCCCCAGCAACAAACCCGCCATTGTGGAGGCTGGTATGTGATACGTGTTTTCTCTGTCAGCACACACCTGTGAGTACAAAGCAGTCATACAGGTGTGTCAACTACTTCTACCCTGGAAAGTGGCTGTTGGCATCTTATCAACCACAGCACATCATGACAGCCTTATTTATGAGATGTTGCTGAGGTATTCTCTGCTCCCTGCAGGTGGGATGCAGGCTCTGGGTAAACACCTCACAGGCTCCAGCCAACGTCTAATGCAAAACTGCCTGTGGACACTCAGAAACCTGTCTGACGCTGCTACCAAGCAGGTCTGTGTCCACATTTACTGTTAATATTTACTTTTCTTCCTCTTTTTTTCAGAATTGTTTTGTTTACCTTATTTGGAAACACAGAAGTGTCTGACACCACTGTGTTCCTGTTTTCAGGAGGGTATGGACAGCCTGCTGCAGGTGCTGGTGAGCCTCCTCAGCTCAGATGACATCAACATGTTAACGTGTGCCACCGGCATCCTGTCTAACCTCACATGCAACAACGCCCACAATAAAACCCTGGTCACCCAGAGCAATGGCGTCGAGGCACTGATCCACGCCATACTGCGCGCTGGTGAGAAGGAGGATGTGACTGAACCTGCCGTTTGCGCCCTGCGCCACCTGACTTCACGACACCAGCATGCCGAGATGGCACAGAATGCTGTGAGGAATCACTATGGCATCCCCGCCATCGTCAAGCTGCTCAACCAGCCCTACTACTGGCCTGTCATCAAGGTAGAGCGAGGGAGGGACAGAGGGCGAAGGGACTAAAATGTGGAGAAATGTGCTGCTAAAGAGATGATGTGTGGTGGTTTCAGGAAGATGTGGGAAAGGGTGGTAGACTGCGAGGAAGGTGATTTGAGGAAAATTTAAGTAAATGACCGTGAAAACAAACACGGTGAGGAGTTAATGGTTTGTCCCAAACATGAGAATGGGGGGAATGGGGAGAAGTGGACAGATGGACAAAGAGGATGGCAGATAGGGAAGAAAGCCAGAGCCCCAGTCAGCCCAAAAGAGCATGAAGTGCTCATGACAGCAGGAACAGTATGTTTTACATCACCAGACTTTAAACGGGAAACATTATGACATTACAAAAAATGTTACATTTACCGCACAACTTTAATTCTTGTTTACTTTAATTCTTAAACTTGAATTTCAAAGTTGTATGTTGACTTTGTTTTATTTGTCACCTGTAACAGTAAACAGTATCATGATCGTATCTTTGCCTCTGCTCCCCGTCCAAAGGCTGCGGTCGGCCTGATCCGTAACCTGGCCCTCTGCCCAGAGAACCAGGCCCCTCTGAGGGACGCAGGAGCCATCCCCTCCCTCGTCAACCTGCTGCTCAAAGCTCACCAGGACGCGCAGAAACATGGCTCATCTGCCCAGCAGACATACCAGGTATATAATGGGCTAGTGTAGGCATCACTGTATGCCTTTTAAGAGATACTGCACTTAAATGTGTTTTTTGAGCTGTAAAATTAATGATTTGTATGTTTTTTACAATAATGCTGGTTTTAACATCACATGTATTACAAAATTTAAAAAGAAATCTACATTTACATGTTTAACATAGTGCCACCTAGTGTTTCAAACGGTCTTGGACCTGCCAGGGCCAATAGATTTGGGACAGATTTGGGGACATCTCTATGCCATTTTAATATATTTGAAAAGGTTAACACCCTCTAATCAAAGATGGGCTGACCCCCGCCACCAACGACTGCTTGTGGGTGGGAATCTGGAAAGCTGCTCTCATTTTCAAATGTATGCTGAAACTAAACCCCCAAACCAACATGTGGTCTACCAATCAGAGGCATCCACCATCCTCAGCCATGCCTTGGGATGAAATTATATTTGTTGGAAATGAGAGGTTGTGTTTTATTCATTTTTTTTTTATTGTGTTCATATTTGTTCTCAGGATGGAGTGAGGATGGAGGAGATTGTTGAGGGTTGCACAGGAGCACTGCACATCCTGGCCAGGGACCCCATCAGCAGAGCAGATATCGCCAACATGCAGACCATTCCGTTGTTTGTGCAGGTAAGATGCCGTCAGTGTCTTGATAATTAACTTAATTATGTTGTTGTTTTTTTATTAATACCAATTTTCTTCCTCCTCAGCTGCTCTACTCTCCAGTGGACAACGTGAAGCGTGTGGCGGCGGGCGTCCTGTGCGAGCTGGCCCTGGACAAACCATCAGCAGAGGTCATCGACAGCGAGGGAGCGTCGGCTCCCCTGATGGAGCTGCTGCACTCCAATAACGAGGGCATTGGTAGGACATCCAGATAATGTACTATGATAAGCTCACTGTAATGTAGCATTGAGTCATATTTAAAGTGCTGTTCTCACTGTGAGTGACTCTCTTTATTTTTACTTCAGAAACATTTCAGAATGACATAGTGATGTCTTCATTAAAAGAAAACAATTCAAACATTTAATTAGGGTGCAGAGTCAAAGTTAAACTCTATATAAATATATGGTTAGTTTGAATAAAATGTTACTTGATACTCACAAACATATCATTTAACATGACATTTCTTGCCAAATCTTGAGTCT